GTGGAGTTGTTAGGTAAGAAGAAATTAAGCTGTTGCAAATCTGCAACGCCTGCCTGGAGAGGGTCAAAACCTGTGGGGGCGGGTCCCGGCTCAAAAACTTCTAAAATGACGTGCGCTGACATGCTGCAATACCACACCGGGCCGATGGGGGTGGACCCGGAATAAGAATTAGCCAATGCTAATGCACATATCTTCTTGCCTCTCGAAAGTGGGTTTAACAGGATGGTCCAAAAGTTGTCTCTTGGCCCAAAGCTCCGTTCCACATGTGTGTCAATGCTGAGTGTTCTGGACCAGTCTAGTTTAGTCGCTGTGGACTTTTGAGGCACTCGTTTAAATGAATGGAGCTCGTGCAGCTGACGCAGGCGCAGATGTGCTTTTTCACATTTTCCAGCCCCCGCGGCCATTTTGAAACTGCCCATAGACGGCAAAAGTGATGGCACCTTAGTTTCAAATTCAAAGAAGGAGATAGGCGTGACTAAGTCCGTTAATTTCTACAGTCTATGGTTAAAACATACAATATATACTTATGAAACAATAATGTTGGATTATTCGTTGAGATTTTCACTTTCTGAAACCTTAAGATTCATAGTCTCAGTATTTATGGACTTCAGAGCAAAGGTTATTTTAGCCCAAGGCACATGTTTGGACCATGTGGTTAATGCCACAGGTCTGCTGCAGAGCTCACGCTCCAAAGTGTGACATCACATGTGGAATACAGTGATGAAACAAACAAATAAAAGCTTTATCAGGCACAGGGCTTCAGCTTCCTTTTCTCATCAGCATTTATGTGATTCTTCCCCATTCAAACTAAATCCTCTTCAGTTAAATGAAGTGAATCCCCATGGCGACGGTCCATGAAGCCCATGGACCCACAGGCCACAGCATCTGGAAGAGTGCTCAGGATGTACAGCTCCTTCTAAACTTAACCACAAACGTGTCCAGTTCCACTCGCGACACACGAGGCTGCTTCAAACAAGTCCGGCCAGCTGCTGCGTGACTGCTCATTTAAGACTTTAAAACACTTGAAAAGAACTACAGCACTTGCAGGACTATGAAGCGCTCCTGAATACAGCTACAATTTAAGACATAACGGCTTAAACATACAGGCCTCACTTTGATTTAAACCACAGGTTTTCATGTTGTAATGTAACACTTCACCAACTGATGGAGAATAAGAATTAAAATAAGAATACATACATTGGTTGAATCACCATACATATACTGTGTAATATATATATATATATTATATAATATATACATGAGTCATAGTTTTATGCAGAATTTCTGGATTGCAGATTGATACCTATTGAAATGTTACAATGTGTTAGAAATGTGTAATAATGTGAGCAATGAATGCAGAGAAAAGATTAAATATTCTCAAGAATGATGTTCCCAGGAGCCAGGACAGCAGCTCAAGGCCGTCTGCTCTTATCTCTGTGACGCTCGCAGACTGAGACTGAAGGACCAGAGAGAACGCTCACTGGGACAGGGACCTGGACAAACCGCGGGCTGCAGGCCACATACGCCCGATTCATGCGTCAATGCGTTAAAAGGGTTTAAAACAAAACACAAGCCACGGACACTAAAGAAGAGCTAAACACACTTTACACGAGGATAACACTGCATGTTTCCCTCTTTTCTTAAAATATTTTTGAACATCCAATAAATAGATATTTAAAACATTTTATCACTGACGTATCTTTCTCATAAGAAAGCAAATATGCTTTGCAAAAATAATTTTAAAGTATGTAAAAACAAATCCAGGCAAATAAGTCACCCACAGTTCCATCAGTCACTGCTGAAGGAACAATACACGCCTCCTGTGTTAATTTCATTATGGAATAAAGTCTAAGTTTGTTCATTTTTTTACTTCCCAATTTGTTACTTTTAATAAAAATATTTTGAATTTGAATGAGCTCCATTCTATTCTATTCAATCCAATTTGATTTATTTTTGCATAGCCCTAGATCACAAAAGCAGTAGACTCTGAGGACTTAACAATGTAGCCGATTCCTCAACAACAGATCAGAGAATCAAACAGTTCAATGCAATAATAATGCAATAATAAACACATAGGAGCCATTTGTCCATAGTCGGGCAGATGACCAATGTGCATTAAAGTAAATACAAGTCCTTAAATCTCCCAGATCGTCATTGTCCTAAGACCCTTCTGCACCAACAAGGAACCACTCAAAAACCGAGTGGGAAAAGTCGCCTCAGAGAGGAACTTTGAGAGGGATCCACAGACGGACAGGCCTCAGAACAGATCTTGAGGCTGAAGGGATTCTTTCCAGCTTTTGGACAATACATCAACAACAGATTTGATTTTCATGGTTTTCATTTTAAATTAACCTGGGATTATTACATGATTATATTGTTTCCTCTATTGTTGTAAAGCACTTTGGGTTCCCTTGCGGTAAAAAAATAAACTTGCATTGACTGTATGTATCACAGCCTGTAAACTTTTTGTACGGTAGCAAAGCCATTTGAGTTTTGCCCAGTCTCCTCAATAAAAACAAAAACAAATTTTAAAGATTTCTGGGCTGGACTGCCCACATTTATTCAACTTATCAGACCTGGGTCAGACCTGGGTCAGACCCGGCAGCAGACCCCTGTGTGGACCTTTTTGGACTACAGCTCTAATGTATCATTGTGATTTGAATGAACGCTACTGTAATTCCAATACTAATAATAGAAATGTAAATAATTTAATTTGAATAATAATTGGAGCAGCTCTGGAGAAAAGTCACTTGGATTGTGTGATTCAGAGAGTGCAATCCTCCATTCTGAGGGAATTTGAAAATTCATTCAAAGATAGATATTCAAAAGAGATAAAAAATAGTCACAGACTCACAAACTCTTCTTCTCTCTCTCACACACACACACACACACACGCCCACACACAGTCTCTCTCACACACACACACCCACAGACACAGAGTCTCACACACACACACAGTCTCACAAACAAACACACACACGAACGGTCAACGGCCAGTGGAACGGACAAATTTGTGATAAGGTTTGTCAAAAAAGTGGTTCAAACAAGGGCGTAGGTTTGCGTGGGGACCATGGGGACATGTCCCCACCAATATTTGGTGAGGACTAAAAAGTCCCCACCAAAATGACATGATGTCCCGTGACCCGGACGGTCCGGGACACATGTCTTCCGTTTGTGCACACGTCGCGCCTCCTCCTCGCCTCCAGAGCAACAGCAGCAGCAGCAGCACGTGACCCGTTCCGTTCTCTGCAGTGACTGGCTGTCTTCTTCAGCGCCAAACTGAAGCACTGAGCGACTGTTTAATTTTTAATAGTTAGCCAGCATGAAGCAAGTGTTTTTTTTCGTTCCCTGAGCGTTGTAGCACGTGAGTAATCAGAGGAAAGTACTGTAGATCTATTACCATTCAAAGTACTTACGTTATTTCTAATCTGTCAGCGCACTGTTTAATGTTCCGAGGAGCTCACACGGCACAGAGACAGAACAGAACTGGCTCCAATAAAGAAACAGGTTGGTTGAAAGGCTGAAAAAATACTTATTGTGCTCTTACTATCCAAAATGTATAAGTGGGTGTGTTGTGTGAATCAGGATAAACTAGGGATGAAAATATTCCACGGATCCACGATTTACAACTTTTATCTGCTGATAATGTGATTTCTGTGAAATGTGTGACAGCGGGCACTTGCTGTTATTTGCTCTAAGCACATTCAAGCGATGAACTCGAATGTGCACGTCCTGGTGCAGCTGCTGCCGCTTTGTAATGACAGCCGCGGCGCTCAGTGAAAGCACAGCTCTAACATGGTACCGAGCTCGGACCATATGCAGACAGAACCATGTTGCAAGTGCGGGTCTCCCTCGTATCTCCCCCGTTTCTCCCCTGTGTCTCTGACATGTCTCTCCCCTGACTCTTCCCAAAGCGCAACCAGCGCTCCCGAAATTAAAGCTCGGATACCTACATTTTCCCATTGCGTTAACGATGCATGCTGGTTGTGCGCAAAACACACCACAACAGGTCATTTAAGTTTTTATTTTGCATACTTGAGAGCCCTGTGAGTCATTACTTGCCTTTTTGGGTTGAGAATGGAATAAAAAAAAAGAAAATATAGAAAAATCCACACTGTTACTTATTGCCAAACTCTTGTTAACTCATTGTATTGAGAAATACTTAATGATTCTGCAGTTCATGTATATGAATGTCTGTTTTTGATTGTCTATACCTTCTTATATAATTTAGAAAAAATGCCACCTCCACAAAAAAAGATAAAAGATATCAGGAGCTTTTTTAACAGTTGGAAAGTAAGTAAGAGAAAGCACAAGTAATAGCAAATTATGAATTGTGATGATTAATCTTCTGTTAACATACATAGGAAACTCTGCTTCTCATTCAGTCTACAGCTGAGTTTAGTATAGAAGGCAACACACTATTGCAAATATAGTGTGTGATTACACAACAAATTCTGGGGGAGAAACTCTGGACCCCGTGTCAATGGGTGTAGACTCAGGTCGTAGTGAATGTCCCCACCAAGATTGGAACCAAACCTACACCATTGGGTTCAAATACTAGTTTGTCTACGGAACAATGTAGCTGAATATCCATGAATCCATTTACTGCTTCTCCACTAGTCAGGCCTCATAACAATCTGTCTCAAAAGTTCAACTTATTTGAGCATAATCCAAAATTAAACGCAATTTTTTCGTTTTGCCTTAACACAGTCACTTTCCCACACACCAAAGCACAAAGTATAGTTGTTGTTATTGTTATTGCACACAAACCCAGCGATCAGTCGGCATTTTTCCAAATACGACTTTATGATTTATAAACACAGATGTATTAAAAGTGTGTGATCTCATTTATTGCATCAGCCGCGATCCATGCCGCGGACTCACTGCTTCCTTGTTTGTCCACATGTGCTCTCAACTCAGGACGCGCCTTCTGCTGCGTCTTGCACACGGAGAAAGCGCGGAGGCAGAAAGCGTGTGAGGAACCACAGAGGGGCTCTTACCCGTGGGAGAGAGGAGACGCAAGGCCCGGTTAGTCTGTGCGCGCTGGAGCTCCGCAAACGGGACGGGACTGGACGACAGGGGCCAGAGGAAGTGCCGACGCTCAGAAGACCCAGACGGTGTGTGTCAGAGCAGCTGCGATGGCGCGACACGACCAGCAGAGGGCGCTGCTTACAAGCGAATGGAGGCAGGCTGTCAGACTGATTAGAAAGTCCTGTTAAAGCAAAATTAAAACAGCTTTTAAATGGGCCTCGTCTCTCCGCAGACCTGGACAGACATGTTGCCTCCTCTCGAGAAGATTCAGAATATGTGAAACAGCAGCGGGACAAGGGAGATATCAAACAGATTCAAATCAGAAAATACAAAAAAAAACAGTATACAGTATAATGGATATCATTAGTTTTTTGTATCCTCGTTAATAAAAGGAGATTTACTAAAAAATAATAAAAAAAAACTATTAAGAGAAAGCAGATATAAATCTTTTACATGTGTCCCCAGAAAACAAGCCACATGTACACACCAGACCGTTTCAGAACAAAAGTTTAAAATTAAGTTACTCTTAAAGCAAAATCACAATGGACATGATGTCCGTAATATTTATGTTTACAATTGTTTGGGTTGCCAGTTTGTTAGGTGAAATTTAGCTGGTTTTGGCTGTTTTTAAAACAGATATTCACAAACAAAATAGCAGCGTACACATTTGTTGTAATCCAGAGTTTGTACTGTTTCTATCTAAACTCCAGCAGGTGGATTGCATCAGTAATCAGAGTTTAGATAAGTTCGTCCCACAGTTGGTTCATTTTATGAGCTTCATGTGTCACAGGAGGAAGATTCTGAATACATGTCTGATTCAGTAAAAATTGTATATCCATTTTATTTTTGTAAAAAAAAAAAAAAAAAAACGGGTACAAAACTAGAACTGGACTACATGTACGTCTGGTTCTGATCGTAGTGGTTGCGGTTACCTCGGTTGTATCCTGGTTGTATCCCATCCGACGATTCAGCGAGCTGGGGAGGCGGGTGCCGTAGGTCGGTGTCGGTGACGTCAAGGGTTTGCGCCAAATTTGCTGCTGTAGTTTGTAATGGCGGCAAATGAGATAGTACAGTTCTGGTTTATCTACCAAATATCAAGAAATTGAAACCGGAGTGAGAAATGTTTCGCTAATCTCATTTAGGGCTCTGTTAGTGGCAAAGGAGATGGCTAAAGGTAGGCTAAAGCTAGGCTAAAGCTAGGCTAAATGCTAGCGGTTCACTCGGGCGCATTAGCGTTACATACTTCAGTTCACGGTAAACTCAGATTCAATGGTTTCAATCTGCAAAAGGAATTTACAGGTGGGAGTGGTTAACGGATCTCTTATCCGGACCTTAGTAGAAAATGAAATTAGTATGATGGTATAGTAAGACCAGACTAGGACTGGAATAACCAACCAGGTCAGAAAGAAGGTCCTAGGTTTGATTTGGATAAATCTTTTTGAGTTTAAGGTACACTGTGTGGCTTTTACTTCCATCTAGCGTTGAGATCATAAAATGCAGTTCACTTTTTAATAATGCAGTTTACTTTTTTTCCGGCAACACCATGTTTTCTTTGACAGAATCCTTTCACTTGACACAGTAGCGCTTAAATGTACACGCACATGAGTGGAGGCGGACATGTTAACAGCGTTCTGAAGCGGCACCCGCGCTGCACAGAGAAGTTTTCCTGACGCAGTGTGAAGACAAGAGACGGAGGAATAGGACGTCTGCGGGAGTAAAAACCACAATGTCCAGAGAAGCAGGACGTCTACAGCCGAGGTAGAACTGTGCTAAAAACTAAGATTATCATTAGCTTTCACCACGGCGCCAACGTCGATAAACATGTTCTGGCGATTGTTTTGCAGGGATTCTGTGTAAGTTTGAATACGTTTGTTTGAAACTTGTGGACATAGTAGTTGGACTAATGCTCGGAGCGAGTCAGAACATTCAGAAACCCTCGTTCTCATTCGGTGTGAAGGAAGTTACGTATTGTTCACGTGTGCGGTTTGTGATGTTGAAACATTTGATGTTATGACGCAGGTTTCTAGATTTTTGCATTATTCTTTTTCTAAAAGATTCTTTTACATATGTAACTGTGGTCCTCCATGGTTCCTACTTCAAACTTGTGAGGGCACGGTGGAAGCAACGATATTAGCACCTGTGAAACAAACGCCGATCTCGCAACCTTTTTGTCCCTTATCAACCAATGTATTTCCAGATGGGGCATTGACATGCCACTCCCATGTACATTTATAAATCAAATTCTAAGTCTATGACAACAATTCAGAAACATGGTGGAGGTAAATATTCTAAAAAAGGTCATATTTAAAAAACTTGAAGATATTATTAGTAAATGTTTAAGTTCTCTGTGTGTCTGATAAGTTTCCTTCAGTTGCTCTTATTTCCACTACCACTAAAATATATAAAACCTTCAGCCCCAGTAGAGCACTGCAGCAACCTCTGCTCCTGACAGAGGCCCTTGTGACTGTCTAGGATGGGTCAAATGCAGAAGTCACTTTTCCTACAGGGATCAATAAATGACAGTGTAACCTGCGCCTCAGGCCGAGAGTTGGTTTATTTGACCCGTACAGTTTCCAAAGTTTCATAATGCATGACAGTGTCAGCTCATGCATCAAAATGCACTTTGAGATTTCTGCGACTGGCCTTACCTGCTGTTTTCAGCGCATGAATCACAGTGGCTCCCCTCTCCCCGCAGGCTCTGCTCCTGCAGGCCCCAGTCCAGTGATGGAGAGCAGCAATGATCAGCTCTGCCCCCTGTAGGAGACTGATGGAAGAGCAGCGGCCCCTGGAGCTCCGCTGCAGGAGGCAGAGCACAGAGCAACCATCACACACTTTCACCTGATGTGAAGAACACTCCATCAGGAGAGATGAATGACACTCACCTTTGTTTACATCTTTTTGGTCACAAAGAAAACAAGACACAGGTTTTTTTATGTTGGAGCTGGATACCTTAGCCTGGCTCTGCCAGACCCATGTAGTTCCGCCATGCTCCACCTGGTGGAGCATGGCGGAACATCAATTGACCAATGAAAAATAGTTTTCATGTATTTTTGGCCTCTGCCACATCTTTGATTCAGCTTTTTTTGACCGAAAAGTGAAAAAAAAAGGTTCACCCTCACTAGTGCCCTCAGATAAAAAGCCTTATTCACATTTTTCTTTGACACGACTTGACACAAAAAAAAACAAGAATTTATGAAAAAGAAGTTTGGGACTTCTTACTCCAGATTGAGACATCCACAACTTCATCTTATAACATTTATGCTATTATCTCTTAACTGTAATCTTATAAACAAGTGCAAATCTAATGCTGTAGCGTGGAACATGGAGTTTTCAGGTTTTCCCCGAGTGGGTGGGTTTAGAAATCTCATTCAGGGGAGTGAATTGTGAGTGACTACACAAGCCACGTGTGCTTTTTATTTCCATTGCAATCAGTGGAAAAAACAATACGTTTAATTTCAAATATTTTATTGCTTTTAAATTAAGTGCATTTTCTTAATTACAATTCAAAATAAACTGCACCAGGTTTCAAAGTGTTTTCCAAAATATAATTGCATAAAACAAGCAGCAGCACTTTGAAGTTTGCCATTATTATTCCACAAATTCACAGAACACAGAATCACAGTGTGCGTTTGAGAGAGGGTTGTCACATGTTAGACCACCACTAGGCGGCGCTACAGTCTTTAGAATAGGCCACACATGTTCTAGTCCGGTTCAGAGACAGGCAGAAGTTACCATAGACTGTAAATGAAGTTACCCACGCACAAATGTATTGAGAAAAATACCAGAAAATCAACTGCAACAAACGTGAAATGTCTACTTCTTTGTCAAAATAAGTTTGAACTAAACTGTCTCGTCTATCGGCAAATCTTGTATTCAACAGGACAACAGCTTGTTACAGTAAAACTATGCTTAAACATGTATGTTCTTGTACCATATATTAACTCATAACTATTCTTTCCCAGTGGCCATGATTATTCCAAAGTGAGCACCTAAGTCATAGTTGAGATTAATACTCGAGTACATCGCCAAACACATTTCCCATTGACTGCTCTTAGATTTAAAAAGCATTTACAGCTACTTATCCATGTATAGTTTGTGTCCTGTGTGCGCTGTAACACTGGGATGAATAAAATCAATCTCTTTCAGAATGTTCAGGATTCTTGGAAACCAGCACACACAGTTTGTACCCTTTTGGTAAAGATTTGGATTAAGGCTAATAGGATCCATTGGCCGATGATTATTCGATTAAATCAACTAGCTAAGATTGTGAAAGATCAGTCAATATGGAATTCTTTTCTATATTTGACCAAGACAAAGCTCCTGTGGTGACACTGGAAAGACTTGTTACACATTGGGTTGTTTGACTAAAAATACACACATTAATTTTCATTCTGCAGCAATCTTTAAAAAACATCTTAGCGTGTTAGGTCTACAGTCTTTCATGTCCAGTCATTTAATCATTTTTCATCCTCCACACAGATTACTACATTTTCAAGGCTTATTTTAAACTGAGCCAACAAAGTGGCTCTTCAAACAGGACTGATTCTAAATTCTGCAGCTTTAGAATAACACTCACAGGTTAGGCAAATCTTGATCTCATTTTGACAAAACAAAAGCCAAAGCCAACGTCCACTGGAATCCCTGGCACTACAAACGGGATCACGACATCGTATACTGAATGCAATGTTGTGAAAAAATGCTTTTGAGGCAGGGAATTAAATGGATAGGAGCACACATTTGACTGGACACAAGACTGATCAATGAAAGAGGATATAAGATCTAAAGAAGAACTCAACATGACCAATATTCTCACAATAAACAACGCAAAGTTAAACGGTTGCTTTTATTACTGCTTGCATTTTCAGATGACAATTCCTTGAACACTTGCCGACTCTTTTGTGGATGGTAGCTTCTGCGTTGGTGCGAGGATAACGTTGGCTCGGGAGAGAGGTGGTGGACGTTTTAACACTGGGAGATATTTTTTGTCCGGTCGCCGTGACGATTCTACGGACTGACTTTGGCCAGGACGATGGCGGTTCTGCATGGGATGTACACCTGCACCAAGACAAGAGAGAAGGAGGCTGCGTCAGGACGTATTAGATTACAATGGAACAACCCTATGTCCCTGGTTTTGTCAAGGAGTGATCCATAATGGAAAAAAAGGTTGGCTTTAGTGATGTTCCAAAGAGGGAGTGGCTCTGTAAGCTGTATTCACTACAATAGAAGCGGACGATTCAGACGCTAATGCAAAGAGAAGCCTTTGATTTGTCTTTTTATAATTTGTTTACTATGTTCTTTCAGCAGCTACTCCACCTCTGCTGCTGTGACCTAATGCTAAAGTGCTGTTGCATTTAATTACTACGGTTTGCTACTTTTAGAATTATGTATTTGAAGGATGTGTTTCTGCTGCTACTGGACACCTGCATTTCTCAGTTTCAGTTTAGTTTATTTCAAAAGGGGGACAATGCAATTTAATAAAACACATGATAAAACATGAGTTAAAAAAGCCAGAATTAGCCAAGGAGGCTATTTTTCATCTGTAGTCCCCTGGCTGTGATGTCTCCTACAGGGGATCAATAAAGTATCTATATCATTTGCCTTTCCCATCCTCCAAACACAATGTACACACCTGTTTTCTGCATCACTCATTTAAGATCCTGTTTCCTCTATTGTAAGCCATGTTTGCTTTGTGCTGTGGGTGACCTTGGTCTGTAAAAATGCGCTATATAAATAAAGATTACTTACTTAGGCCATGTAAATAAAGGCTTTTTAAGTACCATGCCCATTTTAATTCAGTTTATTTGTGTATAACCCTAAAATCACAACAGCAGTCACCTCGGAGGACTACAAAGTTGTTGATTTGCCAACAACAAATCAGAGCACAAACCTCCGCCTTGCCGCGTTAAAATGCCAGCTTTAACTAAATATTTCAAACCCATGACAGAGTGTCCAGCAGGGGGCGACAGTCATGGCCCAGCATGGATGCAAAGTGTCCAAGACGGTCCGCTCTGAAGAGCACCTTCAGAAAAATCCCGGGTGAGGCACGAG